ATGGCTATTGTTGTTTTGTTTTGCTTTGTTTAAGTAGATAACTAGACTTTTCTTCTAAGATACTACATAAACAACCAATGTTTTGGTTAGCAACCAAGTGCATTACCATTTGCACCATCCCCTACTTTTTCTTAAGGACTCTTAATCTAATGGAGGGAGTTAGGGGCATGTGCACGCACGCGGACACACACACACACACACACACACACACACACACAAAGTAGGTAGGGTAAAAAATAGAATAATAAATGCAATATGAAAGTATAAGTCAAATGCTCTTAGAATTCAGAGAAAAAATAATTACTTCCATGTGAATAATCAGAAAAAAAAAACCCAAGACCCTTCACTGTGGGGATAGTATTTTATCTAGCCACCAAAGGATAGATAGTAAGGATTTAGAAATTCAGAAGTTTCAGAGAGAACCTTCTACTTGAAAGAGCAAATTTAGACTTATGAAAGCAAAGATATATTAAAGACATCGTGAAACAAATTCATTGGTAATGTAGAAGCTGAATCCTCAATAAAACTAAAAAGTTCATTGGTGCTGAATTGGAACACACTCACATCTGAACCTTTATTGGCTTTCTGAGGCTATAAATTACACGGAAGGAGAGCGCACATGTTTCTCCCCTAGAGTCACTAATTTTTCAGTAAATAGATTTTTAAAGGCTATAGTATTTGTTATCACATGCTACAAAATAATCTTACATAAATTCAACCTAAGATTAAAAAAGTAATTAACTACCAAGACTTAGCATTTTGTCAGAAGGGGCCAAACTTTGGAAAAGGACATCTTGCTTGGAAATATGGAGGGTCTGCAAAAGAGAGGAAGACCCTCAGTTATTGGGTAACTGCAGCAATAAGTTTAAGCACAATGGAGAGTCTAAGGATATCAAGGAATGGGGTACAGTTTCAGCCTGTTGTGCATAATGTTGCTTTAAATTAGAGGCAGCTCAATGGCACCTAGTAACAACAGCAATATAGATACATGCGGGGTGGGGGGTGTAAAACCCATATGATACCCTGAATCTTTTAGTTACTTTCTCTACTTACATAATACTAATCACAACAAAGAAGCTCTGGTGGCTTAGTGGCAAGGAGTTGTGCTGCCAACACAGAGGCATATGGTTCAAGTCCACCAGCTGCTCTGTGGGAAAAAGATAGGCACTCTTCTCCCCTGTAATTGACTCTCTTCTGAAAATCCTCTGGAGGATCAGCTGTGAGCTGGTTCCAGCTCAACAGTATATTACAACAATAATCATGACATTGGTAGGAGAACAAAAGTAAAATCTTCCCAAAACTCATTAAGGGTATGATTCTAGGATTTTGTTTTCATTTATTTTTAAAACTGCAATTAGAAACACAGTATACTTGTTCTGTATTTTTCCAGAAGGCAAACCTAGCATCAGTGGGTAGAAATTACATAAAGGCAAGTTTAAGCTCAACTTGCGAATTTTCCACAACTTAAAATTGTCCATTAATAAGACTCCAATAAAGCAGATAATAGCGTTTCTTTTTTTTAGGAACAGGCTTGCTAACCCCATAGCAGGATTCCTATACAATTCCTAAGAGAATCAACTGAGAAATGAGAACAGTTGGGTGCTTAGGATCTTTTCAACAGTAATATTCTATCAAACATACAGATATCACACAGAACCAGAGTAAAGCGTGCAAAATCATTTTCCTGAGTCATGAATGAAGCATCTTTTTCAGAAGTGAAGGGTATTTATAGTCTGATGCCAGAATATTACGTGATATTCATGCCAACAATTTACTAAGTCAAAAAAGCAGTTTAAACTGAATTATTTTTACAGCTATGGCGAATTCTACTAGGCAAAAAGTATGCTTTTTAAAGAATTAAATAAAACCAACTCAGATATACAAGACTGATAAATCATGTCAAACTAGTGTAGCTATGGAATTTTTTTTTTCTTGCATCATTAGATAATAAGACTGAAATGTTCTTGGCCACAGGAACTTGATTTAGTTCTTTGCAGATATCTACTTAATGATTTTATATGAATATTTACCTAATGTTAGGCTGTCTCTATATTTCATATTCATTTATTGTGCAGATATACATTAGAGTGAAGTTGTAAATCCATGAGGATTAAAATAATTCAGAGCTAATTAAACTGTTTGGTGTTCTAAAACTTAAGTCGAATAATTGGACTTTCTTAACAGTAGTAGAAGAGTTATGTATGTATGTGTATTTGAAGGCTGTTGGACATGTGTGTCATAAATACTGCTGTGAAATTTCTTAATTCCTTCAATTTTTTTTTATTTTTGCTTTTTTAGCTGCAGTATTGAAGTATGAGAACAATGTTATGAACATCAGGCAATTCAACTGTTCTCCTCATCCATACTGGCTTCCAAACTTCATGGATGTTTTCACTTGGTCCCTGCCATTTGTTGGGGAAAAAGGTATGTTGTGGAATCCTGAAATGTGCTTAATTAGATGTCACAGTAGGGATGGAAAGGACTGTTTTCATTTTTCATGAAACACTTAAGAAAGAGAGAGACTTTAACCTAGATAGTAAAAAGGAAAAACAGCACCATGAGAGAAGTGATTTGACTTTTATATGTTTCTGGCCTAATAATAAGAAACAGGGAGCTCTGGTGGTTGTTGTTGTTAAGTGACGCTGAGTCGCAGGCGACTCATAGGAACCCTATGAAGTAGAGTCCTTGACGCTTGGGTGCCTTTCATCCTCTCTCCAGGTTCATGAGGTTTCCAGAGGCAAGCTATTATGGAAGTAGATGCCACTCCTCCTTCCAAGCTTGTTTTAATCGGTGAGCTCCACCCCACTCTCTGTGTGGAGTAGTCAACCATTAACGAATTTGACACATCAGTGTCACAGTGTTCAGCCTCACAGCAACCAAAAGTGACCGTGGGACTGCAACTTGTACACCAGGGCTATACGACCTAAGGAATGTCTGAACGAAAACAATTTTGGTGGCCAATGGTTAGAAATGCACAGCAATCCCAAAGGCATGTGGTTCAAATTCACCAATTGCTTCAATGGGAGAAAGATAGGCAGCATCCTTGTGATTATCTGCCTCTGAAAACCAGCTGGACGTTTAGTATGGGTCAGTTTCAGTTGGACAGCTAACAATAACAACATCATCATATCTTATTAACAGAATCTGATGAGTGAATTAAGATGAAACAAGAAATGAGGAATATTAGGAGAATTTATAAATCTTACTAGAATAACATTACTCTATTAAAAAGAGTGGTACTAGGGATATTGTAGCTGATGTCAGATGGATCTTAGCTGAAAGCAGAGAATACCAGAAGAATGTCTATCTGTGTTTCATTGATTATGCAAAGGCATATGACTATGTGGATCATAATAAATTGTGGCTGACTCTGAGAAGAATGGGAATCCCAGAACATTTAATGATGCTAATGCAAAACCTATACTTGGACTAAGAGGCAGTCATCAGAACAGAGCAGGGCAACACTGCATGGTTCAAAATTTAGAACGGTGTACACAAGGGATGTGTCCTATCTCCATACCTTTTCAACCTGTACGCAGAGCAGATTATCTGAGAGGCTGGGCTCTATGAGGAGAAGCGTGGTGTTAGGATTGGTGGAAGATCTATCAACAATCTGCATTATGCAGATGACACAAATCTGCTTGCTGAAACTGAGGAGGACCTCATGTACTCACTGCAGAGGG